ACATGCTGAAAAATACCAAGTTAGAAACCCGTGATAAACAAAGTAGTCGACGCAGTGTATGTTATTCGAAGTCAAGTCGTAAAGACAATCGAGGCAAAGACGCAGCTAATCAACCCTACTTGCTTATAGTGGGATACAGTGTGTAGTATTTTTCTGATAGCTAAGCAATGCAAGATAGATTGGGAGTAAAGTTTTATTTAATAAGTCAATTTTACGTCAGTACCTTATTCAAGTTTAACCACCGATTCCGGGAACACTATATAATAGAGTATGCATCCTATCAACGAAGCCACTAATAGCAACAACCAAACGAATTTGGCTGCCTTTTCAGCTATCATTTGGACCAGTACTATAAAAGCCTAGGAAAGAGGCCTGTTGGGACGGGACCATTGGTGATACTTCAAAATGTCAATTTAGTCATATATCCTAGGCAATTATAGGAACATTTCCTGGCGCATGACATGTTAATGGCCTCAGAACTCTACTGAAATTAAATAACTATGTGTGTATACATATGCATGTATTTTGATTATTCTCTATGTACAGAAGGTGTTTAAACATAAAATAGGGTTAAAAATATAAAAACGGCTATTTCTTCAGATTCCGGTATTCAGAACAAGAGATCGAATTGCGAGGTCAGGAAGTAGATAAGTGCATTGATAAAAGAAAATTTAGAAAGAGAATTTCGTCGGTAATCAGAAAAATAAAAGCAAGATAGCTTGAAAATCAGGGCGCCCAAGTGGCGTTCTGAACAAAGGGCCACCAGGCAAGAACAAAGTCAAATTAAAACTAAACAGCAGAAAGTAAGTGAAAAAGAACTCGAATAAGCTATATAAAATTGGAATGGTATAGAAAACGAAAGTTGATAGAAAACAGACAAAAATCAGGTAACCGGTTGGCGAGTGTCTGGATGGGAAATATTGGGAATGCTGTTACTTGCCTGTCTGTCCACTGAGGGGTTAAAAGATCAAATTAAGAAAGGATTCTGTGACCAGACTTAAAGATAAATAAAAAGGCAAATAAAGAACGGCTCAATGATTGGCCGCTTAGGTCGGCACCCAAAAGTAAGTGGGCACGTGTGCATTGGTATGCAAAACAGTTTACCAGATGAGGCCATACGAGAAGTCAACAATTTGTAGATTCAGAAAACTTTAGGAATAGTAGACGAACAGAACGTCTCAGAGATTAAATCATCTCAATATGCCAGAGATCGAGGAGACAAAAACGAAAATTAACAAATGAAATAAGCAAAGCATCCTAAAACAAACAGATGAGTGTAAGTAAAGCACGGGAAAATAGATGGAGTGAAAAAAGAATAGATACCGCCAACTATGCTGTCATTCAAATAAGGCCTGCCAAAAAGATAATATTATTTTGTATAACAAATCTCAAGCAAATGAAAGTCTGAATGTATAAAGGCAAAATGCATAAATCAGCTACACTCGTTCAGCCCCAAATTGCTTGTTCTGAATAGAAGTCTTGGGGCAATGCGTTCGTTAAAAATTCACTTAAGAGAGCAATATTAAAATTCTTGAAATAAAAATAGTCGGCGGTTAATTTAGGGGAGATTATTTTGTGCATCAGAAGAGTCAAAATAAGGAAATAATGTGGCCATTAGAATTTATCATATGTTTAAAGAATAAGCTACCATATATGTAGCTAAAATCGGCATAGAAACTGCACTTTATAAAAAACGAGGACTCATTGGGGGACCGGAGACGGAAGGTCAAATGCGTCAGACTCGAGCAGAGCCAAGTCAAAGAGGAAGAATTGAAGCAGCGGAATTCCGTTGTGCGAATAAAGCAAACTCGGAGTATCGAATTCGAACAGCGAGTAAAAAGGAGAGATTATGAAAGAAAATGTATACAAAGAAGATGATGCGATAAAAAGATATACAGAACTCTAGCTTCACGCTCCAGACTAGCCATTTTTTGACATGTCAAGATCCAGCCTCTAGAACAGCTGAGACTTCCAGATATTAATTTCCGTTGGATTGGAGTTTTGATAATGAGCATAATCTCTTGAAAGTGTTATGCCCAAATAAAATCAGGACGCTTTCAGCAAAAATCTTCCCACTCAAAGCAAGCACGACTTCGAGCATAGGGAGGCGATGTATTACAATTAACAAAGAAGGAACGGTTGTACCGCGTCAACAGTATGAAAAAGGGGACTCTGAAACATGTTCAATGTGATTGAGTTTTTCTAAAAAGGGCTTACCAAAGTCACGGCAAAACCATTCACTCTAAAGACTAATTTTTAGACTGAAAACTCTGAGCTAAAAAATCAAGTTAAATTCCATAAATGGAAACGATCACACTTAGTGTAGTTGGAGCACCTCAATAAATGGAAGTATTTCTTGTAGAAAGTGACTGGAACCAAAATGTCAGCAAATGGCAAAAGTTGAATAGAAGCTAAAATGTATGAGGCAATTGGTCTCACTCAAATATACAGAAATGAGAGAAGTGAAAGCTGTACATATAAAGCAGTCGCCAAGTTAGATCAAGCTAGTAAGTCTGGGCTCTCAAAATCGGAGCCAGAATGGTTAAGAGAAGAATTTCTCAGACACTGGGAGAGCAAAAGAGAATGTGAAAGCGAATAAAAAGTTGAATATCTAACCCCTAAGCATATTGCATTGTTTGGCTGCAGAATAAAGGGAAGGTAATGCTGAAGAAATATATATTAAGAGATCTTTGTCAAAAAGAAGCAAAGAAATTAGTATTAAAAAAAGCATAGAGAAAAGGGAACATTCATCAGCCTTAAGCTTGCAGGAAATGAGAGACAAGGAAAATGTGATGATGAGAATCAAGAGGATAAATATGATGTAGAATGAGGTTGGTCAAAAGTCTGCTGATCACTAAAGTGCAGTATAATTGAGCTTTTCATCCGCCTGCCCCGGAACCGCGGCCAACACTTGTCCGATTCCCCCCAGCCCTCCGGGCCCAAGACCGAGTCCGCCGGGATGCCCAGTCTGCAAAGAGCCTGCATTCGCGGCCAACATGCCTCCAGCCGCAGAGGCACCGTTCGAGCCAACATGGGCTTGTCCACCCTGTAGAGTCGACAAGCCGGTTAGGCTGAGTCCTGCTGCAGCCGCGGCCGCGGCCACTGCGGCTGCTGCTGCAGCTGCAGCCGCAGCAGATGCGTCTTCGCTTACACCGGAAGCGGTCTGTACCAGAGGCACCGTGGTCTGATTGGCCACGGCCAGACCGGCACAAGGGCCAGCGGAGGAGACGGTGGCAGAGGATACGGGAATACCGGATGCTGAGCACAGACCCATGCCGGCAGGTCCGGCTGTCAATTGGCTCGCCAGACCCGGATGCCCATAGACAAGTGAGGGTGCGGCTACGGCAGGAGACATGGCTAGTCCAGCGGACGTCTTGCGCTTCTGTCCGCCAGGGGTCCCGGGGCCAGTGCACGAGGAGGGTGATGGTGCGCTGGTGAGAACCTGGCCCTGGGGAGTCATAGTCAACTGGGAGAAAATTGAATTTGAATCGTGGTTATGAAAGACAGCAAATGGACGACATGAGAATGGGGAAATGGAACAGCAATTAGTTGCTGAGAAAATGTGTGCGGGATGCTAGATCAATATCTACTACAGTGGCCAGGGAAGACTTAAACTATTAAGGTAGACATATTTTCAATATAATCCTAATGAATCGTCTACTGCTATAATATACGACATTCATTAGAAGCCAGACATTTAAAATGGCATAATTATTCAATATAGGAAAAGGACTAATTAGAAAGGCGAAATATGAAGAAATCCTCAGCATAAATGAAAGGTAACTTTTTAATGTGAGCGGCGTGGACTTTAAGAATGCTTAGCATAAATTTCGAGAATAGTGATGCAGAGACAAAATAGCCAAGTCAAGGATTCGTGATCAATTACGAAGCTTCCTTTTTGCTGAATTCCACTCTTCTGTATGCTAGAATAGTGAATTAATTTTTTTAAAGAAACATAATTATATTGAAGAGATCGAAGGAGCAAGGAATGGCCAGATCAGATGCAAGAATGTGTATCCTGCTGGCTACAGCCCCCCTTGCTGGAGGAAGATAAGTGACCTTGTCAGCTATTTTGGAAGCTCATCCATGCATTTCTGAATTGCTTTCCCTTTCCATGAGGCAATGACGCCAAGCTTTCTTGTACAAAGCCCTACATAAATGTGAAAAAGACTCATTATGTGAGGTGGCAAATAAAGTTGCTATAATATTTTCACGGTAATGTGGGTAAGCCGCAGAGCGCTAACGTAACTTCACTTAACCTTACTTCTAAAAAAGTTTACTCATCCAGCTGGACGGCAATTTCGAGCTCGTGCAGGTCTCGCCAGCACCCCCATTGTCGCGAAACTACAATATCCATGACTAAATCACCTTAAGCTAATTAAATCTTGAACAAAAATTGCTGATAGTTTCAAAACATACTCATAAAAAATAAATATACAGAATGGGCGATTGTAGGCAAGTGGCCAGTGTCCTTTGTGGCGGTAATACTAGTCAATCTTGCAAAATAGCGTCGTCTGGATCCGACTTCTCAGTTGG